AAATACAATGCAACTAGAGGAGAGGGAAATGGGAAATAATTGTTTGTATCAATGATTGCCACTATACCTGTTAACCTTTGTTAAACAACACATATCAAACTTGAAATATGTATAACTTTTTGCTGTTTATTCCAGTGCACTGTGAAAAATACGAAAGTCCCTGAAAACAATCCACATTTGTAATTATCAATATCATTAACTATTTCAGCCATTCAAAGCTACTTCTATTTTCAGATAATAACATATTTTTTGGGTAAATACTGAGAAAAGCTGAAAAGAATTGTTTTTTATGTTTAAGGATGTGAATAAAATTGAGAGTTTAGTATTTTTTTCGATGCTAGCTTTGCTTTGATCTCACCAGACAGTCCCTCAATAACAATGCACTTCTTAAAGAATAAAAGAGATGTTATGATTAAAGAAAAATTGCTATTATTCTCACCACTAATACTCACACAATATATCTGATTTCAGAAAATCTCAACAAATATCCAGTTACCATACTTCTGACAGCTATACTTCACCCTTAACTGGAATTAATGCAAGACAAGAAGAGATACGAACCTTAAGAAGAGTTTATGGTGCCTTTATTGATCATTAAAGGAAGTTTTCCACAAAACATTTGAATTATCCTTTTGTTGGTTGTCCTGGAGTGTTTTATACCCTTCGTGATATACCTTTCTTTTGTAAAGTGGGAGAACTGTTATAAATTCAGAAGTGGAAAAGAACCCATGTGATGTAAAGAATACCTGTGGAAATGGGGGGAATCTATAAATTGATTTACTCAAAGTACTAAGTAACTACCTTTTCCATGGACTAAGTCATACACTAAGAACTTGAAGTAGATGTGAGCTTTAATTCTTGCTCTGCCTAATAGCAAGGAACAACTGCCATAGAGTTTGATGAAAAATGAAGTCACTTACAGTAGAGGCTTTCCGGGTTACCACAATCTAGAGTAAGAAGTATATTTATATTATGATTCAATTTGCACATATATATTCCTTCATCAAACAATATCACAGTCTGATATTTCCTATTCTAATGTCTTTTAATGCTGGTCTTGACCAACTAAAATTATTTCATAACCAACTGTTAGTCAGCTTCCCATTACTATAACAATTGCCTGAAATAAATCAACTTATAAAGAGGAAAGTTTTATCTTGGCTCACAGTTTTGGAAGTTTCAGTCCATGACCAATGTCCCCATTGCATTGGGCCTACAGCAAGATAGCACATAATGGCAAACAGCCAATTTTCCTCACTAGGATGGGAAAAGAGAGGAAGAGGAAGGGATTGGGGGTCACATTACGTCCCTTTGAGGGCACATCCCCAAAGACCTAACACCTCCCACCAGGCCTTACCTCAATAGTGGCAAGCTGAAGACAAAGTCTTTAGCACATGGGCCTCGAGAAACATTCTACATCCAAACTATAGCACCAAGTAATGCTTTCAAGGCCACAATGTGAGCAACAAGAGACTAAAGAAATAAAATAAGGTAATATCTAACTATAAAGCAATCACTGACTATAGGAAGTTTGGGGGGGAATGGAGGCATGGCTTAAGTGGTAGAGCACCTGCCTCGCAAGCATTAAGCCTTCAGTTCAAACCTCTACTGAAAAAAAAAAAGGTTTTTTTGTTGTTCTTTTGGTTTTTTTTGTGGTACTGGGGTTTGAACTCAGTACTCGCGCTTATGAGACATGTGCTTTACCCCATAGGCCATACCCCAATCCCTTTATTGCTTTAGTTATTTTTTCAGATAGGCTCTCAAATTTTTCCCCAGGACTGGCTGCAGATTGGGATTCTCCTATCTATACCTTCCACATAGCTGGGATTCCAGGTGTGTGCCACCACGTCTGGCCATAAGAAATGTTCTTAAAGAACCACTGGCAGGACTGGAGGTGTGGCTCAAGCGATAGAGGGCCTACTTTGCAAGGGCAAAGGCCTGAGTTCAAACCCCAATCCCACCAAAAGAAAGAAGAGGAAGAAGAACCACTGGTAGAAGACCCACACCTGTAATCCCAGTCACTTGTGAGATAGACTTCTGGAGGATCATGGTTTGAGGCTAGCCAGCCAAAAAGCTAGTGAGATCCCATCTCATCAAATAAACTAGGCATGGTGTCAAGTGCCTGAAATCCCAGATATGCAGGAAGGCATAGGTAAGAGGATGGTCTCAGGCAAAAATGCAAAACCCTATGTGAAAAATAACTAAAGCAAAAAAGGGCTGTGGGTATAGTTCAAATAGTACAGCACCTGCCTAGCAAGCATGAGTTCAAACCACAGTACCACAGAAACCATGACTTGGAGGTACAAATGGTTAAAGTCAATATCCACAAAAGGTTAAATTTTATTCTATTATGTTAATATTCCAACTTTCCTCTTCGTTAATAAGTTTCTGATTAGACAGTTTCATGGGCTTTGTGCTTGCAACTCTGTGGTAGGCAAAAAAATGTTCCTTTATCCCTGAAATCTTCAAACATTATCCTGTACTGGAAAACAACTTTTAAGTATGTTACTACTTTAAGTATCTTAAGCTGGAAACAGCGTCTTGTATTAGCCATGTGGACCCTAAATATAATCATGTGTATTTGTGATTCCCACATAAGAGAAAGCAAAAGGTCAAACACATAGAGAAGGCAATGAGGAGAGGGAGCAGAGTAATATTTGAAGATACTGACCTTGAAGAATGAAGTGATGTGGGCAAAAACAATGAATGCCAACAGCCACTAGACGCTGGAAGGGTCAAACAACTGGAGTCTCTGGAGGAAGCACAGCCCTGTCAACATGTTGATTTTGGTCCAATGACCCTGCATTTAAACTTAAAACCTACAGAAACGTGAGTAATTTTTCTGTTCTTGGTAACTTATTACCAAGTGTATGGTGTTTTATTACAGCAGCCTCAAGAAAACAAAATGAGCCCCATGAACTTGACTTAATGAGTCATAGTGCAAAGAACCTAGAGGAAACAGACACCTGTTACTCTACACATTAAGCTATGGCTTGAGTATGTCCCCCGAAGATCTCTGTGGTGAAATTTAATTCTCATTATGAAGTATTAAGGGGCAGGAAACTTAATCTGACTATGGGTATTTAAGGGTGGGGCCTTTGGGAGGTGATTAGATACAGAAAATGGTAGAGTTCATTGAATACTGGTGATTTTGTAATGAGAGACAGAGAACATGCAAGTGTGTGTACACACAAACACACACACACTCCCTGTCTCTTGCCATGTGATGCACTGAACCATCTTGAGATTTGGTTAGCATGAAGGCTATCACCAGATGTGGGCCCTCACCTTCAGAACAGAACCATGAATCAAAATAAGCCTCTTTTTTTTTTAAATCGCTTTATCATATTCTGGCAGTACTGAGGTTTGAACTTACATCCTCACACTTGTTTGGCAAGCACTATACCACTCAAGCCAGGACCCCAGCCCTAAACCACTTTCCTTTATAACTTACTGAATTTGTGGTATTAGGTTATTAACAACACAGAAGGACTAATACACCTTGCTGTGTTTCAAGACTTATGGTAGTTTTATGAAGATTCACAAAACATAATGAAAATACAAATGACAGGTGAAAGTGGAACAAACAAGGATATACAAAATACAGCCAACAAGGTTTAAGCAAATACAGCAGTCCCTCCTCCACATCCATGAGTTCTGCATCTGTAGATTCAACCATGAATCAAAAATATTGGGGTGGGGGGGCGGGAATTGTGTCTGTAGTGAACATGAGCAAACTTTTTTTCTTGTCATTATTCCTTTAATAATTCAATGCAACAACTATTTACATGGTTGTTACATTGCATTAGGTATTATAAATAATCTAAAGATGACTTAAACTATATAGGAAGCTGTGCATAAGTTATATGTAAATACTTAATTTTACATAAAGGATTTCAGCATCTGTGGATTATGACATCCATGGCAGGTCCTGGAACCAAACTCCCACAGATAACAAGGAATTACTTATACATCTAATATTTCTCTTCCCATGAGACAACTACAAATTTGGCTTTAAACTTCCTAACAGTCAACATGTAAAGGACCTCTCCTTGTTTATACAACTTGGGAGGGATAAGATAATGTCCATCCAACTAAAAACAGGGTGAAATTTCTCCTAGGAGCTCTGTTATCCGGACATTTTTTATTGTAATTATGCATAGAAGTCTCATCACCCTCAGCGTAAATTTAACTACAGTCACTACACTCAAGTTTAAAAAACTGTTTCCTAAAACATGAGTTGATAACGTATCAAAACTTAACCTGATAAACATATATTCTGTAGGAGGGAAAACGGTGTCAATTGAATACCCTTTAGGTATATAGCTCACTGCTGATTTGCCTTAATTCCAAGGTACATAGTATTTACCCTAAGGCATTGAATAATGCTCAGAAAGCAAGTACTAATTTCTTAAATAAACTATCAAGTATTCAATAAGTGACGTATTCAATACCTGTAAAATGTGGCTTGCTTGAAAGCAAACTTAGTAGAGTGAAAAACATACAGTGTTTCTCCTAGCTGTCAAGAGAGGTCTAAATACTAGACTACTGAGACGTAGAAACCAGTGGCACCCTAGGTAGGCCACTCTTTGACCTCTGTGTCAAGTAATTCCCTGGGAACACATAAGGTCAAGGCTGGATGAAAAGAAAAACAGAAAACAGAAGTAAAAAATGGCATTCCATCCTCCCATCATAGAGCACAAGCATCACCACTCCTTCAGAGTTTCTGGAGGCAAACAAAATAAAGCAGGCTAATCCTGCAGGACCTACCAGAAAAGCCAAGCCTCCCTCATTCTCCCCATCCCACGGTCTCCCCTAGTCTTCTGCACAAGTTGAGGCGCTAGCCTCACTGCGCAGGCGGCTAAGTATTACCTCGAAGCCCCGCCCCCAGAGAGGAACTAGCCCTTCCGGGTCGTCACCGAGGCTCCTCTCTAGCCTCCATATTTCCGTTTCTCTACTGCTCTCCGTAAAGTCCAACCGCAGCTTGGCGCTAGCGAGGGGGCGGGCCTTCCGGAACTGGGGCGCGTGGGTGAAGAAGGTCAGGACCAGGTAAGGTTGCCGGTGACTTGGGGCTTGCAGGGAGATAGCGGCGATAGCTCTAGAGGGTCTGCGGTGGTGTCCGATCTGGTAGAGTCTCCAGAAGTAATACGAATCCGTTTCCTTAGTGGCCAGCTCGCGCGTTTCACGTGTAGCCCACAAACACCTCGGCGTTTTCCTGCGTGGGTCGGGGATTTTATCAAACTCAGGACGTCCGCGTTCCTGTGCGGTAATTTCCCCTCCCGGATCAGACGGCGGTGCACGTCTCTGTTTCTCAGGGCATTAGACGGCCTTCTGCACCGTAGCTTTATGTGGAGGATGCAGATGCACTTTGTTACCAGCTTAAGAAAAATCCAATAACGTGATTCGTAACAAAATCATTTGTGTGATGCGGTACCATTCAGACGTCGGTTGACACTGCTAAGGGGGGAGTGGTGGAGTCAGCGAGAATTGAGCTGAATAAAACTACTGTGTACTCAGTGCCGTTCATGCCCTTGCGACCCGTTTTAAGTATGAAAGCATTCTGATTAGGTTGTTCTGTGACAAGTGCGGACCGTGTGCATTCCTTGGTCCCGATGGTCAAGGCGGGCCCTGTGCGGTGAGTCTGCATATGGGTCTCGCAATTCAGCTAGGTGGTCCGACGCTCCCCAAAAAGTAGGTGAGAGACCGAGGCAAAGAAGAAGGACCACTAAGAAAAAGACACGAGGCAGAGGCAAGAGTCCAACCAGCTTTTCTCCTCCGAAGCCTGTGTCCTCTGAGAAACCAGAAAAGGCTTTCTTCCCAGTGACACGGTTTGTGGGATACACGTGAAACGTCCGCGTGGGTCACTAATACACATTTACACACAAATGCACATTTCAGCACCAAGCTTTACAGATCCAAAAAGCTGAGGCATCTCTGGGTTAAGAACTCGTGCACTTTATCTTCACCTTTCAAAGAGAAAGGCAAACCTAATGCAAAGCCAATTACTGAAATAAAACTGATCTTTTAAATGTGTCAGACCTACCAGAAAGGTCAAAGAAACCTGCCCTTTTATACCAAAGAGAAAAATACAAGGAATTTTCTTCTTGTGTGGGCTTAATGTGTTTTGCTGAGCACATTTGAATAGTTGGGGTTTTTTGTGTTTGTTTTTGGTGGGACTGGGGATTGAAGTCAGTGCTTGGCACTTGTAAATCAGGCTCTCTACTGCTTGAGCCACACCTCCAGTCCATTTTGCTTTGGTTATTTTGGAGATGGGGTCTTGTAAACTGTTTGCCTGGGCTGGCCTCAAACCATGATCCTCTCAAGCTCAGCCTCCCAAACAGGATAACAGGCATGAGCCAGCAGTGCTCAGCAAGTAATTTTAAGTCCAGTTATTTTTTTTCTCCATAGTACCATAATTTTCTTCAGTCCACGTTTAAAGAAAGATGGCATTTTAAAGTGAATATTTTGTATCCCTTAAGAATGGTTTTATGGGACTCAAAATCTAATTGACATGGAAATTATTTACCTTTTAATGTCATTAATACAGTCATCATATTCTTTTTTTTTCTTTTTTTCTCTTTAGATAAAATTGAAGATTTTATAAGTAAGTACAATAGGGCCCTAAAAAGTCCTAAGCACGGCTTTTGAAATTTTGTAAAATTTAAAACTAGTAAAAAAAAAACCTTGTTCTTGCAGTACTGGAGTATGAATTTCTCTCATGCGCTTGGCTTACACTTCCAGCCCTTTTTGCTTTTAGGTTATTTTTTAGATAGAGTTTCTTGTGTGTCCCTGGGAGCAGCCTGGATCTCCGTCCATCTACCTGAGGCCTCCCTCGGGTCTGGGAGCTGGGGCCATATGCATGCACCACCATGACCAGCTTATTTGTTGAGATAAAATCTCACTAACTTTTTTGCCTGGACAGGCCACAATCCTCCTGATCTCTGCCTCCAACATAGCTGGCCTAGCCTGTGTTTAAAAAAAAAAAAAAAAAATACACCAAACTCCTCTATTCTCCATCAGAGCCATGTCTGTGCTCTGGAAAGATACTACAAACCAATGGTGTTGGTAATTGTAAGGATTTTCAGTTTTCCTGTTTAGCAAATAATTCTTTGCTTCTAATAAAGGAATCAGTTTGAAAATTTTAATATTTTAGGGCTTCAGTTTTGTGATACGTGTTCCTATGAATTCTCCCTCTTCCACCCACCCTTCCTCTCTCTCTCTCTCTCTCAAATAAGGACAGAGAATGGACAAATGTGTCTGTGTAAACATTTGAATACCAAACTTGCAGAGAAGTTTAGTTTTTCTTTCAGTTACCACTTACTGAATGCCACTGTCTTATTCATTTCTCACAACAGTCCTGCAAGCTTTGTTTTCAGAAAAAGGAATCTAAAAATTTAGAGAGAATAGCTAACTATTCAGAATAACCCAGGTAATAAATAACAGCACCAGTACTCAAAGCTAGGCCTCAGGACTCCAGTAATCCACTATTTAAATATAAAGTGTCTGGAATTCAGAGCATATTTTCCTAAAAACATCGTAGCAAAATGCCTACAAGTATCTGGAAATACTGTGCAATCGCAGTAGAAATCGGTTCTAATCTCGTAACGGCAATTAAGTAAAACAAGGCAAAGTTAGTGAAGAAACAGTTTCTTGTTATTTTCTCAACTGGTGTTTGGAAAAAGGTTAAAGTAGAAAGATAGAGTATGCAAAGAAACTTACTGCAGCTTCTAAAAGTGACTTATGTGCATTAGCAAGGCCTTTAGTGGTTTAGGGCATTGATTTATTGCTGTTTTCTGTTTAGACATTACACTATTAATGACCTTTTTTCTTATTGATAAAAATATAACCCTAGTCCTAACATCACCAAACCCAGCCAGCTACAGTCACACAATGCAGCAAGAGTCAGGAAGTGAAAAAAAAAGCAAAGAGCAAGGCTTGTAGATGGTCCCCAGGATTAGAGATCTTGAATCAGACATTTCTCCCCTTCCTGGCCTTCAGGTGGCGCTGCTGGCCCAAGATTGCTTGGTTGGTGATGAAATGGCAAATGGGTTAAAATTGACATTCTGCAACTGGTTTAAAGCCAGCCTCTGTTCTTAATGGATCTTGAAATTAAAACTTCCTTAATTTAAACGCTGAGTTTGTTTTCTTGCAAGCACTGTTTTAAAATTTTATCAGGGTAACAGTCTCTGCCCATACCTGATCTGCCTGTTACTAGGTCTGTAGGAGCCTCTTTTCTCTGCAGGTGGCAGCTTTATTGGCATTTTTACCTCCTCTCGTTCTTCTGGAATTTTTATTTTGTATCCTTTTGATGTATTAACTCAATCTAAATAAGCTGTACCTTTTAAAGGTAATGTGTAAAAAATTAAAGAAATGATTTGGCAGTGTTCCCTAGTTTTTTTGGTAGAGTTCTCCCATTGGCTTTTCAAGATACGTTGGTGCCATTTTTTTGTGTTTTAGAAATCATCTCCTTTTCATCTCAGCTAAACTGTCCCCTCAGATAGGGGACAGTTCTCATCTTCTTAAAATTTCACACAAATTGGCATATTCTGCAAACAGTAACCCGTAACCTAATCTAGAATAGATGTCATAGTTGTTCCACCAGCAACATTCTTGATTTTTACACTTCCCTTATGTAGCTGTTTATGTCTGTTACCTATACTTTCTGCATAGAATGGTTATCATTCTTATATCTATTTCAGCATTCTGTGTCTGAAAACAAAGTTAATGTTTTCAGCTAATAAGAACCTAGCTAGTTTGCATTAAGGCCAATAAGTAACTAAGTGCCTTTTATTCAGAAATAACATGGATCTTTTGAGCCTTATTTGAGCTGTTGAGTTTTTATTTCTATAGCACTACTGCCTGTTTTTCCCAAATGGCTCTCAGTCTCTAGGCGGAATTCAATCCAGTAACCTAGAGGCCAAATGACCTCATAACTCATTAGCAGTTCTCAGAGCCATCTGGTGCCCTCGAGGAGAACAGTGTTCAAAGACTGATAATAAAAACAACAGCATAATTATTTCTCTGCCATGATTATACCTTTAATGGCAAGCAGTCAGCATATTTATTTGCAGATTGCTTAGGTGGTTGTTTTCTAAAGGTATAATAACAATGCTGAGGTAGAATAACTTGTTTCCCTGTCCTCTTCATCCAGCCTGCAAATGAGTAAACTGACTACCTATAAGGAACCTGTTGTATCACAAAATAAGTCATTGTAAAAGTGGCAATAGTATGTGAAGCAAATATATAAATTGCAGTTGTAAAGTTTGCAAAGGAAATAGCCATCTGTACTGTGGATGTTTCTCAACTCCAAGGCATGTCTGTGAATACTAATTCATGTGTGGCTTACTGTATTTTTTATTTTCTAAAATGTTTACTAGATAATCTTAGAATTTTTCGCACTAATCTGTTTACCTCTCTTATTCTCTGTAGGGAATTTTGTTCCTTACTGCTCAAGAAATGTCTTCACTTTCAGAATATGCATTGCGCATGTCTCGCCTGAGTGCCCGCCTCTTTGGTGAAGTTGCCAGGCCTACCGATTCCAAGTCCATGAAAGTGGTGAAATTGTTCAGTGAACAGCCCTTGGCTAAGAGGAAGGAGACTTATGACTGGTATCCAAATCACAACACGTATTTTGCACTCATGGGCACACTCCGTTTTCTTGGCCTTTACAGGTGATGACAAAAAATAAATAAAGAGGGACCTGTGAGAGATATGTTTACTACATTGGCAAAGGGAAAAAAATTTAGCCCTTTTGTCCTTAGAATTTTGTGGCTCTAGTAAGAAAGCCCAGGTAGTTCTGAAGTTTTAATCTGTGGTGGAAAGCCCTCTTTCAAAACATCCATAATTAGCACACTGGGAAAAAAAGAAACATGCTTGTTGGAAGACGTATTTTAATTATGTCTAAAACCATACTAGCATGGAATTGATACTGAGAGATGTTTAATTACTCATTAATCTAAGAGCACTTTAAAAAGGATTCAGAAAAACTGGTCCAAGTGCTGCAGAAGAAAACCCCAGACGCACCAGGGTTGCCAGAGCAGCAGGCTCTTGGTATTAGCTGACAGAGTCCCTGCCCCACACCTGATCTACCTCCTACTAGCCAGTTTCTCTGCTAGTGGCAATTTTGTTGGCATTCTTACTCCTTCCACTCACTTCTGGCATTTTTATTTTGTAGCTTTTTGATGTATGAACTACGCTGTAGTTCACCATTAAGGATAAGGCACAAATGGCACAGGCTCTTAACACCACACTGTGTGTGTTTGGATAGGCCTAGAAAATGCATGCTTTAGACCACACACCTCTCTAGAAAGAAAAAAGATCAAATACGTATAATGATCATTCCTCTTTCAAATTTTTTTCACTACCAAACTTATACATGCCCATTACAAAGAATTCAGACAATACATAATACGTAACATTAAAATGTATGTCATCTTTTTTAAAATTTGACATTTTAATTGGACTTATCTTTTAATTTGGGACCATTCATTCTAATATGACAAAGTTAATAGTACACTACAATATTCATTCCAGAAAGCAAAAGGTTGATACATTTATCCAACAGATACTTCTTAAGTACCTTCTATGTGTAGGTACTTAAGACGGGCTCTGGGGGAACAGCAGTGAACAAAATAGAATATTCTTAGTTCATACATTATCAGAGATTATAATCCATGACCTGTTTTGAATGTCTGGAATTGCTTGGACTATCTCCCTCACTATTAGTCTAGGCTCAGAAAATAAAAACTAATTTTATTTTGACTCAAAATAAAATGTTGGAAACCAGATCCCCTGAGTAGATTATAACCTGTAACAGAATCATATTCAACTATTTTAATGTATCTGTTTGCCACTGCATTCCATTTGTTTGAAGAATGAAGACCTGGCTGTCTGCGGAGATAAGGAAAAAAACAATTAACACTTAGCTATCTATGGGAAAACGAAATTAATTTTCATGAATTAGTCACTAGTTATAGAAAGTGCTGCTTCCAGTTTGAGGCCTTCTGTAGCATCATCCATAGTTAAACTATTTCTTTACTGAAGGGTAGTCCCTTTAGTAAACACAATCTGATTCAAAGGCCTGTAAAAGAGAAATGAAAGGACACGTTCTCAGAAACAATTGATTTACTCATTTAGCCTTATGCTGGTATACTTCTTCAATAGAGACAAACGCCCCTGCCTCTGTGGAGCTGTCTTCTATCGAAGGGTTGACAAAAATAGGGGAGGAAAAGAAGAAGGAAAAAATTGTAATAAATGAGTGAATTATGTGTTGTGTTACAGAGTTGAAATTGCTATGGGGGGGAAGGCAGGGCTGGCTGAGCAGGATCCAGAGTGCTGACAGAGCCCATGGTGGGTGGGGAGAGGGCATGTTATAGCCTGAAATAGAACAGGACAGCAGTTTAGGCAGGGGCTTGAAGGTGGTGAGTGAGCCACATGAAACCTGGGGAAGAGATAAGAGCAGAACAAAGGCAGGAGTGTGCCTGGAATGACCCAGGAGCAGTGCAGACTAAGAACAGTGGTAGGACAGGAGGCAGGTCACAGCATCTGTGAGCATCATCAGAAGAAGTGGGGCTTTTGCTCTGGGTGAAAGGGGCAACCATTTGCTGGATTGTGAGCAATGGAGTGATCTGATCTGATACGTAAAATTAGTGCATATTGCTTGTACAGAGGGGTTTCGTTGTGATATTTTCATACATGCATACAATGTACTTTGATTATATTCACCCCCTCTATTACTCTTAATGTACCCCCCTTCTATCCCCTTTTTAGAATTTTTAATGGGTTTCATTATGTTATATTAATGCATGCATATAATGTACCTTGATCATATTTGTCTCTGCATCAACTTCTCCTTTCTCCCTGCCCCATACCACTGGTTCCCCACCCCAAAACAGGCTCTCCTTTACATTCATGCCATATTTAGGTCTACATTCCACATATGAGAGAAAAATGTACTTGTCTGAGCCTGACTTACTTCACTTAATGTGATGATCTCAAGTTCTACCTTCCTGCAAATGACATAATTTTATTCTTTATGGTTAAATAATACTCCATTGTGTAAATGTATCACATTTTCTCTACACATTTGTCACTTGTTGGGAACCTAGGCTGATTCCACAACCTTGGCAGTTGTGGGTAGTGCTGCAGTAAACGTGGGTGTGCAGACATGTTGTATGCTGGCTTACAGTCCTTCAGATATATGCCTGGGAGTGGTATAACAGGATCATACCACTGCTTTTGGTTTTTTGAGGAGACCCCATACTGATTTCCATAGTGGCTGTACTAGTTTATATTTCTACCAACAGTGTACAGATCTCCTTGCCAGTATTTTTTTTTTCTTGATGATAGACATTCTGAATAGGGTGAAGAGGAATCTTAGTGTCGTTTTGATTTGCATTTCCTTTATGGCTAAGGATGGTGAGCATTTCTTCATTGTTAATTGACCGCTTATATTTCTTTTGAGAAGTATAAATGTTTAATTCATTTGCCCACTTATTAATTGGGTTATTCTTTTAGTGTTTAACTTTTTGAGTTCTCTATATATTCTGGGCACTAATCCCTAGTCAGATGAATAACTGGCAACCATGTTCTCCCATTCTGTTTCCTTCGATGTGCAGAAGCTTTTTAGTTTAATGTAGTCCCATTTGTCAGATCTTCCTATTATTTCCTTAGCTATTGGATCCTATTCAGAAAGTCAGTGCTTTTGCCTATAAAAGTGTTTTTCCTGTGTTTTCTGTAGTAGTTCCAGATCTTACATTAGAGTCCAATTCATTTTGAATTGATTTTTTGTGCAAGGTGAGAGATGGGGCTCTAGCTTCAGATTAATATGTGAATATCCAGTTTTCCCAACACCATTAAAAGGCTGTCTTTACTCCAACATATGTTTTTGGCACCTTTGTCAGAAGTCATATGGTTGTATCAGAGTGGGTTTGTTTCTAGATTTCCTGTTTTATTCCATTGGTTTACATATCTTTTTTTATGCCAGTACCATGCTGGTTTTGTTACTGTGACTCAGTAGGATAATTTGGAATCAGGTATTGTGATACCTGTAACATTGCTCTTTTTGCTTAGAATTGCTTTGGCTATTTAGAGTTTTTATACTTTCATGTGAATTTTAGGGTTGATTTTTCTTTCTGTAAAGATTATCGTTGGAATTTTGATTGCATTGAATCTTTATGCTGCTTTTGGTGAGATAGCCATTTTTGCAATACTAGCATTGCCGATCCACAAACACAGGAGGTCTTTCTATCTTCTAGTATCCTCTTCAGTTTCTTTCTTCAGTGATATAGTTTTCATCACAGTTAGGTTAGGTTTATTCCTTAGTTAGGCTTATTCTTAGGTATTTTATTTATTTTGTGAAGCTATTGTGAATGGGATTATATCTCTGATTTCTTTCTAAGCAAGTTTATTATTGATGTATAGAAAAGCTACTGTTTTTTTATGTTGAGTTTTGTCTCCTGCTACCTCGCTGAAAGTGTTTTTCAGATCTAACAGTCTTTAGTAGAATTTTTAGTATCTTTTTAGTATAGGATCATATCATCTGCAAACAGGGATAGTTTGATTTCTTCCTTTCCTATTTGTATCCCTTTTATTTCTTTCTCTTGCCTAATTGCTCTGGCTAAGAATTCAAGCACAATATGGAGAGAGTAGACACCTTTGTCTCATTCCTGATTTTAGAGGAAATGCTTTCAGTTTTTCCACATTTAGTATGTTAGCTATAGGTTCGTCATACATATCCTTTATTATGTTGAGGTATGTTTCTTGTGTTCCTAGTTGCTTCAGGACTTTTAACATGAAGAGATACTGAATTTTGTCAAAAGACTTTCTTCATCTGTTGAGATAATCATGATTTTTTTTGTTCTTTATTCTGTTTATGTACAGTATTAAATTTATTGATTTGCATATATTGAATTATCCTTGCATCTCTGGAATAAAGCCAACTTGATCATGTTGCATGATCTTTTATCTTTTTGCAGTCCTGGGGTTTGAACTCAGGATCTCACACTTTCTAGGCAGGTGTTCTTCCACTTGAGCCACTCCACCAGCTCTCTTTTGTGTTGGGTATTCTCGAGTTAGGGTCTTATGAACTATTGGCCTGGCTTCAAACTTTGATCTTCCTGTCTTTACCTTCCGAGTAGCTAAGATTACAAGGGTGAGCCACTGGAACCTTGGCCTTGTATGATCTTTTTGATGTGTTGTTAAATTCAGTTTGCAAGCCAGGTGCTGGTGGCTCACGCCTATAATCCTAGGTACTCAGGAGGCAGAGATCAGGAGGATCACGGCTCGAAACCAGCCTAGGCAAATAGTTTGCGAGACCCTATCTTGAAAATACGTAATACAAAAAGGAATGGCTCAAGGTGCAGGCCCTGAGTTTCACCACTGGTACTGCAAAAAAAAAAAAAAAAAAATTCAGTTTCAAGTATTTTGTTGAGAATTTTTGCATCTATATTCATCAAGGAAATTGGGCAATAATTTTCTTTTTTTGTTGTTGTTGTGCCCTTGTCCAGTTTTGATATCAGGTTGGTAGTACTGGCTTTGTAGAATGAGTTTAGTAGCATTCCCCACCTTTCTATTTTATGGCATAGTTTGTGAAACATTGGTATTAGTTCTTCTTTAAAGGTATGGTAGAATTCAGCAGTGAATTTGTCTGGTCCTGAACTTTGTTGGGAGACTCTTTATTATTGTTTCAATCTCAGTGCTCATTATAGATCTGTTTAAATTGTTTATATCCTCTTGGTTCAATTTGATGGGTCATATGTGTCTAGGAATTTATCCATTTCTTCTAGAGTTTCAATTTATTAGAATATAAGTTTTTGATGCATTCCCTGATGATCCTCTGAATTTCATTTGTATTTCTTGTAATACCCTATTTTTATTCCTAATTTTATTAATTTGGGGCTTCTCATTTAGTTAGCTTGACTAAGGGTTTGTCTGTCTTGTTTATCATTTCAAAGAACCAACTCTTTCATTAATTTTTTGAATTGTTCTTTTAGTCTCTATTTCATTAATTTCTACCCTGATCATTATCATTCTTTTTGTCTACTGGTTTTGGTTTTGGCCTGTTGTTTTTCTGAGACCTGGAGGTGCATCAGTAGGTTATTTATTTGAGATCTCTCTGGTTTCTTTATTTAGGCAGTCATAAAGTTTCCTTTTAGCACTGACTTTGCTGTGTCCCAAAGGTTCTGGTGTGTTATTAAGCTTTCATTTTCATTTGATTCTGGGAATTTTTTCCTTCTAATTTCTTCTTTCAGAAGTGTATTATCATTCAGTCTCCATGTGTTTATACAGATTCTTTAGTTTCGCTTACTATTTCTAATTTTATTCCATTCTGACCTGTTAAGATACAGGAAATTATATTAGGGGTTTTTTTTTTGTATTTGTTAAGAATTACTTCATGGCCTAATGTGTTACCTAGTTTGGAGAAAATTCTGTGCATTGCTGAGAAGAATGTGTATTCACTTGCTGAATAGAATATTCTTTTGATGTCTGTTAAATCCAGTTGATCTTATTGTGTGGTTTAACTCTGAGGTATGTCTCTTGACTTTTTTTTTTTAAGAAGGGATAGGAGGTCTGAACAATCTATTAATGAGAGTGGAGTGTTAAAGTCACCCATTATTATTGTATCTGAATATGTCTGTCTATGTCCAGTAGTGTGCACTGACATTCACTGCATATATATTAACAATCACTATGTCTTCTTGATAAATTATTCCCTTTATTAATATGTAATATGTATTAATATTCCCTTTACCTTTTCTGAGTAGTTTTGGCTTAAAGTCTACTTTCACAGATGAGTATAGCCACTCTTGCTTGCTTTTGACTTTTACTTGCTAAGTATATCATTTTCTATCCTTTCACTTTTAGCCTGTGTGTATCTTTACTTGTGGTGTGTGTTTCTTGTAGGCATTGAACAGTTGGATCTTGTTTTTTAATCCAATTAGCCAGAATATGTCTTTGATTGAAGAGTTAACACCATTTATATTAGGATTATCATTAAGAGGTGTTTACTGATTCTTGTAGTTCTTTTTTCCTGGTTGATTTGAGTACTGTTTGTTATTTTCTTCCTCCCTTGTTCCTCTTAGGACTTTGCTAGTTTATTAGGTTAAGCATGTTTAATTTTTTCCTAATTCTAGTGTGCTTATGTATTCTTCTCATGAAATTTATTATTTTCTGAGCTCTCTTTTTGAATATCTTTTTCCCATCTCTCTGTGTGGTATTCCTTTAAGTATCTTTTGCAGTGCTGGTTTAATAGTCATGAATTGCTTTGGCTTTTGCTTAGCTTCAAAGGTCTTTATTTCTCCATCAATTCTGAAGGTTAACTTTGCTGGATATAGTAATCTTGGTTGGCAGTTACTTTCTTTCAGAGCTTAAAATATATCATCCCATACTTTCCTGTCTTTTAGGTTTCTGCAGAGGTATAATGTATTTTGCCTTTGTTGGTAGGCATTTTTCTTTTGCAGATTTCAATATCCTTTCTTTGTTCTCTAGGCTTGATGTTTTAACTGTAATGTGATACAGAAGATTTTTTTTCTGGTCATATCTATTTAGGATTCTAAATGCCTCCTGTACTTGGATATCCATATCTTTCCCAATATTTGGGAAGTTTTCATTGAATAGGTTTCCTAAGCCTTCCATTTGTATTTCACCTCCTTCTACCCCATGGATTCTTAGGTTTGGTCTCTTGATCTTGCCACAGAGTTCTTGAAGGTTGTAATCATGATTGTTTATTCTTTTTCTTTCTGGCTGTCTTAGTGTAATAGTTCCTCGATCTTACCTTCAGTCTCTGATAGTCTTTCTTCTGCTTGTCTACTGATAATGCTTTACTGTGTTTTTATTTGTGAGTTATTGAGCTTTTCATTTCAAACATTTCTGTTCATTTTCTTTTTTTTTCAGTGATCTCAGTTTCCTTGCTGAATTTCTTGTCCATGTTGCTGACTTTTTTGTCCACATCTTGAATTGATTTCTTTACTTCATTTATCTGTTTGTTTAAATCTTCTTTGAGATCATTAATCAATTTTTAAAGTAAACTTTTGAATAATTTGGAATTTTCAGCCATTTTTGTATCTTTTGGTTCAGTTATTAAGGTGTTACGAACTTTTGGAGGAGTCACATTGCTTTGCTTTTTCTTTTTCTTTTTTTGGTGAGATTGAGGTTTGAACTCAGGGCTTCATGCTTGCAAAACAAGTGCTCTACCAACTGAGCCACATTTTCAGTCCTCATATTGTGTTTCTACATTGTGATTTGCTCATCTGTTAAGTTGGATATCTCTTTTACTACTTGTCAGAGGAGAGGAAGCAGACAGAAATTAACAAAATCAATAATTCAGAACCAAACCCAATATTTAAATGTAGCAAAAAAAAATTATGAGCATCAACTACTCCCCCAATCAGGTTATAAAGGATAGGAGCTAGAATACTTAGAGGATAAGTACAGAGTTAAAACAAAAAAAAAATTTAAGGTATAGGTATTAATAATTAAGTAATAAAAAGAAGAGGGAGGGCTGAAGGCATGGGTCAAGTGATGAAGCACCTGATCTAGCAAGCCCAAGATCCTAAGTTCAAGTCACAATATTGCCTGGGGTGGGGGGCATGAGATGAGAAGAGGTAAGATAGGGAAAAGTATATATTTTGAAAGTATCAGAAATAATTGTGAGAGAGAACACTATAGAATATGTACAGAAAAAGACAAAAGAGTCAAGAAAGAAAATAGAGATAAAATGATGACTGCCTTCAAAAAAGAAAGGAAAAAAGTCAGGGAGATTTTGTTTTCAAAATCAGTCAATATTTCTTTGATGGTTGAGTGTGTCTTCTCCTGCCCCTGCCAAAGCAGTTTTTGTGTTTTAAGGGGTGAAGGGTTGTTGTTTTTAAAGTCTAAATAGATTAGTGCAGAGAGGGTTGTCTGGTTTGGGGATTTAGCTTAGTGGCAGAACGCCTGCCCATTCCTGCAAGGCAGAACCCCAGGACAGCACATGCTGTATGCAAGTTCCCCTCCTGGCTCCCAGGGGCAGCAACTCCTAATCTCCCAGTTCATACAGATTTGCTCCCCTCTGGTGTCAACTCCAGTCTGCTTCCTACTCATCCCCCACAATTCCTACACTGTTAATGCTACACTGACTTCCAACTTGTTCTCCCACTCAACTTGGGCTAGACCCTGTGATGGCCATCACTTCCTGCACCCCAGCTCTAGCTTTTGATTTGTGGAGTTCCTTCATGGCTGTTTCATGCTTCTTATCATCTGGCGCCCAGCTGCCCAGAGGTTAGTGGCCAGAGACTCAGCTCTGTTTTGCAACTTTAAAAACTCATGAAGGAGGTATTTTCTGCCTGTTTTGCTTCCGAGTTACAGAGAAGGTAGAGAATATTGCTGGCTTCTAATTTACCATCTTAGTTCTCTCCTGACATAGATTTTACAAGTACTACTCTGGCTGCTCTGTTGAGAATTATTTGGCATCCATGGCTAATCCCAAAGAGATCTGTTGTTCACTGTCCATCACATTCATGGAATGAGACATTGAATTCTATAAACCAATCTATTTCAAACCAGCCTAGCACACCTTTCTCTTACATGTAATTATAATACCATTACCATCATACTTCACAGATAAGGAAAACTAAGGCGCAGATCACTTATCCAAAGTCACAGAGCTAGTAAATGGTGGAGAGCTGTGATTTGAACCTCGGTTCAAATGGGTTCCACAGCCGTTTAAGCACTATGCTGTTCTTTGCGGACTTCATCTTAAGATGTAGACATTTTAACACAGTGTAAGCAGACTTCAACTTCTACGTCATCCAAATGCATAAATAAGCTTCTTGATGCCTGTAGTATTTTTCTCTTCATCTGACTTCCTTCTGCCTGAGTCTTTGTCAGCAGCATTTTTGTATGCAGCATCCGCTGCCATTAAGGCTGCATCCTCCAAAACTCTGCCCACTGTTAGTAGATGCTAATTCTTGGGGCAGTCAGGGTCTCTATGTAGCTACTGAATATTTTAACCCACTTGCTGCTTCTCTCAGTGTTTAATTTTAAGGTCAGGAAATAAGAGTAAGTCAGTGTGTATCATAGATACATAGGCTTATCTGGGCTGGCCTGGGAGGCTATCTGCCATTTGTGGTTGTTCTATGAGGAGGAAGTGACTTAGAAATGATTTTTGGAACCCAGTCCATCTGTGTGTTGGAGACCACCTGTACTTTCTCTTCACCAAATTGAGCATGAGTACTGAAAAATGGATTGATAACCCAAACTACTTAGAAGAACAGTGCTGGATTGGTGTACTTTTCCAATGTGATAAAAACAACTGGTTGATTAATTTTTCTTTCTTCATTCAGAGACGAGCATCAGGATTTTAAGGATGAGCAAAGACGTTTAAAGAAGCTTCGTGGAAAAGGGAAACCAAAGAAAGGAGAAGGGAAAAGAGCAGCAAAAAAGAAATAGTGCCAGCCCATCAAGAAACAACATATCTTCTTTAGTGACTGAGAGGAGGAACATAATAGAGGAACATACTTCCTCAATGAAGGTTATTTGGAGAACTACATCATCCAATCCAGTTAAAGTGTGACTGGTTTCTTGAACATACTCTTAATTCTGAAAAATTATTTTGGTCTCGGTTTTATAATCTGAGGTTTACCTAATCCTCTAAAAGAACAAATAAATTGTTGTTTAATGACATGTTTGGGGTAGGGATAGAATCATGGGGGAGTAGACAGGAAACCTTATTAAATGCGTGTCCCATACTTTCCTCATCTCTCCCTTGTTGCTTCCCACTCATCCAGCCCTAACTTTCTTTCATCACTCTGGCCATTCAGCCACTGTCTCCACCACCAAGCTCACAAACTTTATGGCTGTCTTCACCTACTCCTTTGAGGGTATCTAAGTGGGATGAAAGGCTTTTCTGGGAAAAGAGTACTTAACATCCACTGTATACAGGTACTGGGACACTGATGATACAACAGTTAACCAGATAAACAGTTTCTGCCTCATAGAACTTTTAGTCTATGGGACAGACTAACAAAGTGACATACAATTGTATTAGATGATACAAAGGAAAAAGGCAGACTTCTGTGAGAGGCTGAATGGATGAATGTATGAATTGCCAAGGTGATTCTTCTAAACTTTAGGAAGTTTAAAGAAGGCCTTTATAAAGAAATTAACTTAAGCTGAGTCCTGAAGAATAAATGAGAAAAGAAAAATCTTGAGAAAGTGTTTGAGGCAAAGAGAACACCATTTGTAAAGCCCTAAAATAAGAAGAAATTGTTTCATTCAAAAAAATTGAAACAAATCACTGGTTCAAAGTTGGCAATAAATATGCAGATAGATAAAAGCTTGGATATAACCAACTTAACCAGAGGTCAGAGAGTAAGATCTTTTGTTTGGAGATGACTGTTGTATGTGTTTAAGTAATTGCTAGTTTTATTGTATTATAGCCGTGAATTCCAAAGAGGTTTTGAGGGGTTTGTGTCCATGTGTGTGTGTGTATAAAAATTTAGTTATTCTGAATCTTACTATCCAGTAAACTTTCTTCTTTTTCCCTCTTTATTGTGGTTAAAAAAAAAAAAGAAAAAAAAATTAACATCTTTAAGTTGCCACAACAGTGTTAACTATATGTAACCTCTGTTTCTACCTCTCAGACAAAAAACAAAATGTAGCCAGGCATTGGTGTCTCACCTGTAATCCTCGAAACTTAGGAGACTTGAAGTGCAAGGGCAGTCCCAGGCAAAAAGCAAGACACCATCTCAGAAATACCCAACACACAAAAAAGGGACTGGCGGGATGGTTCAAGGGGGAGTTCTCCTGCCTAGCAAGTGTGAGGCCCTGAGTTCAAACCCCAGTATTGAAAAAAGAAGCAAAGTATATAGACAAGAGGAGATACAGCAACCCTCCAGATACAGTTGTCTTTCCCTGCAATACTGAATGACTCCTGGACTAGTGAGAATCACCAGTACGTATGTTTAGACAATGTTATTTATACATTATGTAACTACATATGTTAGACAATGTTATTTTTAAAGATGCATAATCCAGATGGTATGGCTGGGGTGTATAGCCTGTTTAAAAAAATACTACCTAAAATTGGATGATTTATGTCTAATAGAACCAAGTTCAAACAGAAATCTGAAAGACCATTCATTTACAGCTTTATACTGAGCACATGCTATATGCTTGACACAATCAGAGGAAATACAGAAGCAAATAGATATGGGGTCCAAGATTATTTGAGTGAGTGAGTGAGTGAGTGAGTGTGTGTGTGTGTGTGTGTGTGTGTTGTAGCACTGGCAAGGTCTCAGGCATTTGCTTAGACACATGCACATGTTCTTGGCAGGTATGGGTGGATATTAGGGTGAGGAATACAGTTTCAGCCAGAACCAAGCATAGCTAAGTGATTATGAATTATGTGATCAGCTTTTGAAGAAAGCCTGAATACAAGAGGAATTTAGGAGAATTAGCATCATATTTTAGAGAGTAACTATCAGAAGCCAAGAGTAAGGAACAAAAGAATGGGTGTATTTGCTAACTAATGGGAGAACTTCAACATGGATCAGACCCTGAGGCTTTAAGCTTTAAGGATCCCTAACAATGGTTCATGGAGAAGTTTGTTGATAACCGAGCAGTTATTAGTGTGCCGTTACTCCAAGCTGAAAATCAGAAACTAAAGAGAGAATTTATTTGCACATAAGCTGTACCCTCAAACCAACTGTTAGAATAAATGCCGTGTGACTCAAAACAACCTACGCTGCACTGCAGCGGACCAGCTGGGAAGTAGGATAAGGAGGAAGAGTTAACTCTAACTGCCAGTAGAAAGTAGCACATTTTAGGACACTGGTGACCAAGGGTTCAGATGAGGATAAGTACAATAAAAAAAATCTAATTCCAGCTTTCAAATAGCCAGTGGTTTAATTATTTTCTAGTCAAAACCTGAATGTGCTTTCCCCCTAATGTTTGGTGTTTAGTGTGCAGGGAGGAGTTTGCCTTTGATTTCGGTATGGCATAGTAGAAAGGCTCGGTTTTGTATTCAAAAGTCGAGGGGGTTATAACATGGTTTACTGATGATGTGATCCTAACAGTACCTTCTCTGAACCTCTTATCTGTAAAATCATAATACTTGGTTAACAAAATGTTATGGTATTTTTGGAAATGACCATATAAACTGTAAAAGATGTTTTATGTGACTAGCAGATGTTTCCAAGGCAAGCTGAAATGTTAATGGTTTTCAGGGCTGGGGTTTTGGCCCAGCGGTAGGGTATTTGCTACCATGAGTGAGGTCCTGGGTTTGATTCCCAGCACCACAAAAAATTTTAAAAATAATATGTTCTAAAAAAGAAAGTAGGTGGAAGATACTTGTTCATGTAATTATGGATTACAGAAACTCATTTTTAAAGCACTGCATATGTGTATATATATATACATAATGCTCCATTTTTAATACAACTTCCAAGAGAAAAAATCAAAATTCTTTCTTCACCCCATCCCTTTTGCCTCACATACTTCCCCCAAAGCTCCTAAGAGCTTCATGTTAGAGACTTTGAGCTCAGAACAAATTTCAAGGCAATAAATAGGATAAAACATCTTTTAACCTGCCAATCCTGTCTTACTGGCCCTTACGTACTTAAGAAAAGTTCAAAACAAATGATTTACTTTTTAAAGGTTTGAAATTGAATCTGCAAAACAGTGATATACTCAAGAAGACAGATTAACAATAAAACTCTAGATATAAAGGTACCTGGAAAGATGTACGCTGAACTTAAAGCAGTGAAATGTTTTTAAGTGACATTCCAGCATACAAATGAAGAGAGCAGTCACAAAACTGATGTGAAGATTCGCCAAAAAACCTATCCAAACAATTTTCTTAGTTACTTGGAGTTCAGACAATATTACAGGTTCATTTTACTGTAGACATTAGAGTTAGGCTGATAAAAATTCTAAGACCCTTTTCCGTTCTACTTAAGGAAATAACGCCTTCTAGAAAAGGTAAGTTCATTTACAGAGAGCTTTCTGTGTCCCTAATGCACCTCCCCCTAAGACTGCCTCAATCTAATGGGTGCTCAGTGTAGAATCATCTTCCCACAGAAGCCACAAAACTTGATTGGCCCACTGCGTTTAGAATAAAACAACATTCTAAACACACTGACAGTCTTGGAGAGGACACAGGTTAAACTAAAAGACACTCCAGTCAAACTATCCATGAGAACTGGCCAGTGCATAAACTAGTAACAAACAAGTTAACATAAATATTTAATAAAGGGGTTAGAGGTAGGAGAGAGGAATGTGGCTTGCATCATCGGGAATGACTTCCCAAGCAGTGAAAACAATAAATGCAAGTATGTCAACACTTTTGGAGCACTTACCACATGTTGGCCATTGTGCTTTGTCAGCCATATCTCAGCTGCCCTGTAATAAGTGTCCCCATTTTACAGATGAGTCTGAGGCTTAGAACCTGTGCCCACAATCATATGGCATTAAAAGTCTATAGACTGAACTTTTAAATTCAAGTTGCTGACTCCAAAACCAGTACACTTACCACACTCACATGCAAGATTTTTCACAGAGACAAGTTTCGAGCAAATAGAAGGCACAAGACCCACAAGCAACCACAAAACCTCACACTGTTGAGAGCTGTAACAAGCATGGCCTGGCAAACTCAGAATGAACCCGAAAACCAACACTGGGCCCTCAAGTTTCCAGTGTGCTCCCTCACCATTTGCTGAGGCGTGAACCCAGGGCCTTGCCCAAGCAAGCACTCTCCCACTGAACTACACCCTTGGCCCTCAGTGTTCTTTTATGACCAGATGATAAAGCTCTGATCTCTGTCTGAAGATTATTGTAACAATTGTATTGTTGCAATAATCATTTGTCAAGCACTTTAGCACTTGCAAGGCACTCTACTTTTTCTGCAAATTATGTCACTTTATCCCTACAATAGCCCTATGAGGTTAAGTATTATTTTTCCCTTTATATGTGAACTTAAGTTTGGCTATCAGCTCTGGTTATGGCTTAGAGCCACATGGAGAAGGCTGAAAGATCCCTGTCTCTGGTCCCATTCCAGACGAACTATAGAGTTGAGACAGGAAGGGAGAAGGAGTGCAGCCACTGGTATCTTTAAAAGATCCTCAGCTGTCTCTACTGTGTAAAGAAGCATTACCGTAAAGCAGTATTTCTCAAACAAGTATTCCTCTGTGTCATCTTGGTGGTTTGCTAAACAGATGGCTGGCCCCACCATCAGAGTGTTTTATTCAGTAGGTCTCTGGGGGGGGGGTGCAAAAATTTGTATATGTAGTAGGTTTCTAAGGATTGCTGATGTTGCTGATCTGGGGACCATATATTGAGAACTATGGCTTAAAGTAACTTACACAGAGTCTTCCAGCTGGTAAATTGTTGAGGTACCTAACTAGTGAAATTTCCTAGGCCAACCTGGAGCTGTTTCCTAACAAGAAAGTAGCAAATCTTTAGAAACTGACAGCTAAATACAAGATGTCACATAAAAGAAGAAAGTTTTAGCTGGGTGTGGTGGCTCAAACCTGTAATCCTCACTACTTGGAAAGCAGAGATCAGGAAAATGGTGGTTCAAGGCCATCCTAGGCAAAAAGTTTGTGAGATCCCCCATCTCCACTAATGGCTGGGTGCTGTAGTGCATGCCTGTCATCTCAGCTACATGGAGAAGCACAAATGGGATCACTGTCCTGGCAGCCTAGACATGAAGCAGGAACCTATCTCAAAAATATCCAATGCAAAAAGGGTTGGAGGTGTGGTTCAAGTGGTAGAGCACCTATCTAGTAAGCCAGAGGCCCTGAGTTCAAATCCTAGTACCGCCAAGAAAAAATTCATGAAACTACTGAATGTTGTAATAAAAGAGGACTTGAATAAATAGACATCCTAGATTCCTATACCTAGCTTCTTCAAAAAGGATTCATCTGGGGGGTGTAGGTCAGTGGGAGAGCACATGTTTATAATAACCAAAGTTCTGGGTTCAATCCTGGTGGGAAGGAGGAAGAAGAATGGAAAGGAAAAGGGAAGGATTTATCTAAGCATTGTTTCCAAGTCATACCAGGAGACTTTGAAAAAGGGTACGTGACATCTTGACTTGTGGAACTAAGTGACAGAAAAGCTCTGTTAAATAGTGTGACCTCACTGAACTCCAAGGTTGTCTCAGTGTTCAAGTCTGCATTCTCAGTGAGTGTAAACGCAGTGATGGATGTAACTGACCCAGCCATAGCCGCTAGTGTAAATCTTAGAGGTACTAAAATAGCCAAGAAAGTTGGTGGACAGTTGATAACTGTAAGGTGGTGGAATGGGAGGTTCTCATGAAAAGGTGACAAATTCTGGTATAACCAGAGTTAAAAAGACTCAAACCAGTGCACTAGTTTTGGTTATTTGTTCCCAAAGCATGTGGATAATCAAATAGTTTCTGATTATGTCCAGATGAACCAAATGCGGGAAGAGAGATCCTATATTCTAAAATCAGTGCAAAAAATCTTTAAAATGGGATAGACATTATGTCTCATTCAGAAGTCTAAGGATTCTCCTAGTGATCTTTTTACTTTGTATTTATTTTTTATTATTGTGCTGAGGGGTACATTGTGACATTTACCAAAGTTCTTAAAAATGTCATAGTTGAATTCACCCCCTCCACCATTCTCCTTTATCTCCCCTCCCCCCATTCCTGGAACAGTTTCAACAGGTCTCATTTGTCCATTTACATGCATGTGTACACAATATTTCCACCATATAACCCTCCTACACTCTTTCCTTATATCCTCCCCCCTCCCACTGACACCAACTCACCAGACAGGACCTGTTCTGCCCTCTGCTCTCTGATTTGTAAAAGAAAAAAATGACATTGTTTGTTTAAGATAGCTTTACAGGGAGTTTCCATGCGACACTTCCATGTATATATGTATTATAACTGAATTGGTTCATCTTCTAGTGATCTTGCATTCCAGTTCTTGAACAGACTGAACATTTTGGTGATTCAGGTTTTTGAGATGGAAGACATTGAGTTCATTTGTAGAACAATGGGAGCCAAGCAAGTTTCTCATTTTGACCAGTTCGTGGTGTCAGTTGAGGTCAGGGTTACACCTGTGAAAGCCTGGAAAACCAG